GTTTGGCACAGTGGATAGAGCGTTGGCCTGTGAACTGAAAGGTCCCAGGCTCGATTCCGGTCAAGGGCACATGCCCGGGTTGTGGGCTCGATCCCCAGTGGGGGACTTGCAGGAGGCAGCCGATCCATGATTCTCTCTCATCATGGATGTTTCTATCTCTCTCTCCCTCTTCCTTCCTCTCTGAAATCAATAAAAATATATCTTAAAAAATAAATAAAATAAAAACAAAAAAACTGAAAATAAGAGAAAACACAGACTGAAGAGAGGTTATTTAATTAGGCATTTCTATCAGTAGAATACAAATTATGTGACGCCTTAATTATAGGAAAGAATTTCAGCCACAACAATAGCCTGGCTCCACCTCTCCCTCTGACAGTTAGCAATTTTGCTGAAATCAAGGAAGAAAAATAGATTTGATGAAATAATGATGTAATCATTTATGAATTATTCACATCTTTATTTTCTTACTCATTCAACATTGTTGGTCCTTTAATAAAACACCCATGTGTGCTTAATAATAAGTAGGTTGAGTCATCTTTGGTATTTTGACGAATTTCTGTGCACAAAAAAGCTAAACATATTTCAGAACCTCAATATGGAAGTGTAGCTGTCAAGACCGGGGGAAGACTCCTTGCCCCTGCATTCCAGGAAAAATCCTCGTTTCTTCTCCAGATGTTTCCCTGTTTTACTAAGTCTAGATTGGATGTTTTTTGTTCCTTGTACTCAATCTAAAGGCACGTTGATGAAGACAGTGGTGGAAAGTGGAGATGATGGCGATGACGAAGATGTGGTGACGGAGGTGTAGGTGACAAGGACTGGAGCGAGGACTGCATTGAGGTTACTCTTGCTCCAATCCTTGTTTCCATCCAGCATAGGGAGCCAACAGAGCAAGCAAGGCAGGAAGGCCAGTGGGTAGTGAGGCCTGCTCCAGCCAGGCCTGTGGTACAGTCGAGGTGGCAGGTGATTCGTTGGCTAAGAGCCGAGCCCTGAGTCCCAGCTCCCCATCTACAAGCTGTGTGCCCCTCGGTGAGTCACTTCACCCTTCTCTGCCTGTTTCCTCACCCACCTCACATAGAAATTTGTCAGAAGTGAGTGAGGTGCTGAGCAGAAAGCGCTTAGCAAAGTGCCTAGCACACAGTAAGCAATAGATGTAGTTGGCTTTGTTATTGAAACACTAGAAAGCCTATCTATTTCTTAAATCTGTTTCAATGATTTTTTTAGAGAGAGAAAGGGAGAGGAACAGAGAGATAGAAATATCCATCAGAGAGAAACAACATCTATCGGCTGCCTCCTGCATGCCCACCCCTGGGGACTGAACCCACAGCCCGGGCATATGCCCTGACCTGGGAATCGAACCAGCGACTTCTCGGTTCATGGGTCAACGCTCAACCGCTGAGCCACACCGGCTGGGCAGCCCTATCTATTTTATTCATACTGTTCACCAGGTGCTCAGGGGAAAAATGGTTAATGACATCTGCCTCTTCCCCACCCCACAGCCCCTCCTCTCTCTGGCCACCCCTGGCCCTCCCCGCTCCCCCAGTGGCTACCGGGCAGTGGGTGCTGGGCACCTGGCTCTGCCCCAGGCTGCCCCTCAGAGGGAGAGGGGAGCCAGGCTATTGTTGCCGCTGAAATTCTTTCCGAAACGGAAAGCCCTGGCTGAGAGGATGGCTGCTCTAATCGCTCTGGGGACACACACATGGCCGGCGAGGGGCTCCTCCTGAGGCCCTGGGCAGCACAGAAGCCCAGCGCTGAGCCCCTCCCTCTCTCTGAACCACCGCCTTGAGCCCCCTTCTCTCATTCAGAGCCTTTTCTCAGGCTCCCCATCGCCTTACTGAACTCATCTCCTCACAAAACCCCTCCCTTCTCTGTACCCCATCTTCTCTCTAATCCCTCCTGAGCCCCTACCCCAGCAGCGCCTTCCCAGCCTCTTGCCCTCGCTGACAGCCTGGCTCCTGCTGTGCCCGCTAGGCCTATTGCTCTCACTATCCCTCCCACAATTCCCCTACCCTCTGCCCTCCAACCCCCAAAGCCCCACCCCCATCCCACCCCCATCATACGCCCATCAGAAATCCCTTCCAGGCCCAGATACCCTCTCCTCTTTGAAAGCTTCCCACCTCACCCGACAGAATAAATAAATACCCGCTCCCCATGTCATGGCAGCACTGCTCTCACTTGAGTTGTGATCAGTCCTTCACACCTCTGCCCGCCCCCACCTCCACCTCCACCTCCACCCCCAAGCAGGCTGAGCTCCCTGCTGACCCAGGCCACAGAGCAGTGTTCAAAATGATTTGTTGACAGCAGCTGAGAGTGAGACTGTGGGACTAGAAAAAAACGTTTAAAAAGATTTAGGCCAGAGTTGACCAGAAGGTGTTGGTGGAGGGCAAGAGCTAAGAGTCAGATACATCTAACATGGTTTTTAGCATTTTTATTTTATTTAAAAAAAAATTTTATTGATTTCAGAGAGGAAGAGAGAGGGAGAGACAGAAACATCAATGATGAGAGAGATTCATTGATCAGCTGCCTCCTGCACGCCCCACGCTGGAGATTGAGCCCGCAAGCTGGGCATGTGCCCTGACCGGGAATCGAGCCATGACCTCCAAGTTCATAGGGTGACACTTAACCACTGAGCCACGCTGGCCCGGCTCATCGAACGTTTTGAGCCCCTGAA